ATCTACAGATATTTTTACAAAGAAAATAGAAAGAGAAAGACATTTATTGTTTTTTTTTAAAAGGGCCATTAAGAAATTTCTTTTGGAAAGTACACAAGGGGATAAAGATAAAAGTGGAATTTAAAGAAATAAGGGACATGACGATAAAGGAGTAAGTCTGAAACACCGTGGAGAAACCAGGAACACGTTCATCAATTTGAATCAATGTATTTTATGGGACTAAGTTTCAGAAGAAGAGGAATATATGAAATGGCAGAGGATGGCTGAAAATGTTTGATGTACCCTAATCAAATCCATGGGTAATAAAGTAAAGATAACTCCTGTAGTCAGTCTTTCAAGGAAAGAGATTCAAGAAAATTGAAGAGGCAGTAAAGGAAAAATTGAAATGGGCAAAAGAAGGAGAACTTGTATAGATCCAATCCAATTGCAAATACTCCTACTAATAGTTAAATCAGGGAAGGATAAGGCAAAAAAGAAAAGGGAAAAGTTAATCCAATAGGTGTCAGAAAGAGCAGAAAAAGCCAAGAAAACTTGATCAAGATATAAGAGTGGTAAGGCCTGTGGTCCATTTTCAGGAAAGGAGAATCATAAACATTCCCCTTGAGACAGAAAATAAAAGTCAGTATTGTTTTCTTTGGCTATCTACACATGATGACAATTTTCTCAAATGTTTATTAAAAGTGCTATATAAAAAAAAAAGAAATGATGTACACAATAAATACAGAGAAGTGTGGAAAGATCTACATGAGCCAATGCAGAATGAAATAAGCAGGGCCAAGAAAACAATACATGCAATAACTTTGTTGTTTAGTTATTTTTGGTCACGTCCAACTCTTTGTGACCCCTTTTGGGGTTTTCTTGGCAAAAATACTAAAATAATTTGCCATTTCCTTCTCCAGCTCATTTTACAGATGAGGAAACTGAGGCAAACAGATTACGTCACTTGTTCAGGGTCACACAGCTAGTAGGTGTCTGAGGCCAGGATTGAACTCATTAAGATGAGTCTTCCTGACTCCAGGCCCAGCACTCTATCTACTGTGCCACCTAGCTGCGCCTTATACACAGTAACTACAAAATGGAAAGAACCACCACACACAAAAATCAAAAGGAAATGTAATGATATTATATGGATCTAGCAGGACTCAAGTGAGAAGATAGGAGAAGACCACCTATCCCTTGGTGAAGGTGGGAAGTCCACAGGTGACACACATTGCACATGCTTTCAGACTTTCTCAATATATCTATCTATTATGCTGATTTTTTTCTTTCTCCTCTAAAAAAAAAAAACACTATCTGTCATATGGGATGGCTCTCAGGGGAGGGATAAATGGGATACTATGATGATCTAAGAAACAAAAAAAAAATCAATAAAAATTATTTTAAAAAACAATGTGCCTAAAGAAACAAAGCTCAGAATGAGCTGAGGGTGGCAGTGAGAACAATGGAGGACAAAAGGATGGGGTTTTAAGAGTGAGGAAGAGTATTGAAGAGAAATATGTCTACTGCTTGGTGTTAACCTAAAGGTAACTTCCAAAGCCAAGAAGCCAGGACTTCCCACACAGGCCAAATGAACATGAACACTTCTGCTTTTGCCATGGTATTCTGTAGGGAATCCCTCAGCCCCTTTGCTGCAATCAGTTCTTCCACTGGAAAAGCCAATTCTCAAGCCTTCCATCTCTAATTTGTTCTCTTGGATACAGGATGAACCTTCACTCATTCATCCAAACTCAATCATCATGGTTGGTTCAATTAAATTATGCCTTGCTCCCTATTGCCACTTCCAGGCTTTCCTTCTACCACCATGAGTCAGTCACCTCTCCTACCCTGAGGTTTATTCAATATATATTTATCATCCAATCAAAAATCTGGTGGCCATTGTCTACAGACCTCCAAAACACTCTTCTCCCTTCCTTAATAAGTTTGGTGACTAGCTCGAAGTATTTCTCTCTTCCTCAATTCCTGCTTTCACACTAAGGAACTCCAGCATATATACTTCCTCAACTACTCTAACCTCCTAATTCCCCAATTTATTAATTCCCTATGAACTACATCTTTTCACCACCACAAGTCTACACATCAAGGGTCATACCTTTATTCTTTCCATCAGTCACAAATGTTCTACATCTATGTTCATGAACTCTAAAATTCCTTTATCTGATTATAATGAGTTGTCATTCTACCTCTCTCTCTGCCTTGCAAAACCACTACAAGTTTATGTTACATAGTCTCAAACTAGGAGCTCACCACTGCAAGGCAATCCTTTTACACCTCCTTAATCTAATCACCATCCCATTTACTACAATGGCTTTTCCAATACCTTTTCTTCTCTCTTTAAACCTACCCTAGCTCTCCCTACCCCTACCCTCTCAGTTAAGAACCTTGCTTCATATTTGAGGAATTTTGAAACGAAAAAAAAAATTGATGCCATTAGCTAAGAGCTCCCTTTTCTCTCTTGTTCCTCACCTCACATTACTCTGGATGCCTTCTGCCACTATTTCCTCTTTCACCCCTGTTTTACATGAAGATGTGGTCTTTCTCCTTGTCAAGGATAACCCCTCTTTGTGAAGAAGTGATCCCATTTCATACAATCTTTCCTGGCAGATTCCCCCACCCTGTCCTGTCTCATTATCCCCACTCTCCCACTACTATTCAACACAATTCTCAAAAAACCTTCACTTGATCCATCCATCCCCACTAGCTATCATTTTATATCTCTCCTTTTATTGGCTCAGCTCCTTGTGAAGGCTTTCTATAATAAGTGCTTCCACTTCCTTTCTTCTTACTGTCTTAACACTTTGCAATCTGATCTCCAACTTCATCATTCAACTGAAACTGCTTTTTCCGAAGTTATTAATGCTCCCCAAATTGCCAAATTTAATGTTCTTTTTTTCACTCCTCATCCTGCTTGCCCTCTCTGCAAACTTTGACACTGTTGATCACCCTCTTTTCCTTGATAATCTCTTCTCTCTTTCATAACACTACTTTCTCCTGGTTCTCCTCTTACCTATCTGACCACTCCTTCTCTGTGTGTTTTCCTGGATCTTCAGCCATGTCATGCTTGCTAAATGTGGGTGTCCCACAGGGCTCTGACTTGGACTTCTTACCTCTCTCTAAACTATTTCATTTGATGATTCTCATCAGTTCCTATGGTTTCAATTATCACCTCTATGCAGACGACTCTCAGATCTACTTGTCCAGACCCAACTTTTCTTCCAGTCTCCAGTCTCTTGTCTGATCTGCCTATTAGACATCTCGAACTGGATGTCCTGTAGATATCCTAAACCCAACATGTTCAAAACTGAACTCATCTGGGGCAGCTAGGTGGCGCAGTTGATAGAGCACCAGACCTGAAGTCAGGAGGACCTGAGTTCAAATGTGACCTCAGACCAAACACTTGATGTGTACTAGCTGTGTGACCTTGGGCAAGTCACTTAACCCCAATTGCCTCACTAAAAAAAAAAAAAAAACTGAACTCATCTTTCTCTCCAAACCCTCCCCTCTTCCTAACTCCCTTATTACTGTGGAGGGTACCACAGTACTCCTAGTTACCCAGGCTCACAACCTAGGTGTCATCCTTACTCTCAACCCTCTCCCCATATCCAATCAGTGGCCAAGGCCTGTCATTTACATCTTTGTAATATCTCTCATGTATGCCCCCTTCTGTCTTCTGACACTGATACCACCCTGGTTCAGGCCTTTATCACCGTTCACCTGGACTATTACAATAGCCTGCTGGTTGTTCCCCCTGCCTCAAGTCTCCCCTAACTCTAATCTAAATTCAGAGAGAGAAAAGAGAATGAAAAGGAATAACTTGGTGTAACAGCTCTCTTAAACATACCATGAGAAGCAAAGGCAACAGTCCTTCCCCCTGAGTCTCAGTCAATCAAGTTCCCTGTGTCTTATCAAAAAAGGTACAGGTAAGTGTCCCTTAAGTGGCTTCAAAGAAAGGATCAGACTCCATTTGTCATCATAGTGATTGGGAAATTCATGAAACTGATCATTTTATACTAAAATCTGGGTGAAGTATATCCAGTCAGTCAACAAGCATTTATTAATCTACCAGTTTAATAACCTTGCCAAAAGTGGCACAGTGGCTAGAACTCTGGGCCTGGAATCAGAAAGACCTAAATTCAAATACAGTGTCAATTACAAGCAGTGTGACCTTGGGCAAGTCACTTAATCTCTGTTTGCCTTTCCTCAACTGTTTAATGGGGATAATAATAGCCCCTACCTCCAAGGGTTGTAGTGAGGATTAAATATTTGTAAAGCACTTAACACAGTGCCTGGCACACAATAGACACTATCTAAATGCTAGTTGCTATTATAATTATTATTATTATTAAAAGGAAATAAGGTTAGTCTCCCATGAAATGCTGTCTCTTGGTCACCTGCTCATGTGCACTCATGCCTGTACAAGCATGCTGACTTGTACACGATACATGCACAGGCAAGGACACGCACCTATCACCTGGCACGTCCTTGTCACTCTCTGGGCGTCACTTTCCTCCTCTGTGAAATGAATGGGTGGGACTCTAATTTCAGCCCTTCCAGCCCTCAATTTTTTTGAATCTATGAGACACTGTTGACTAGCTAAGGACAAGGTGACGAATCAACAAACTGAGGCTGCAGGAATAATGGAAACCGATCCATGAGGAAAAAGAAAAGAATGAAACTCTCAGCCACCTCCATCCCACATCCTGGGGCTAAGTAATGGGCGGGAGAAGAATGTTGGGAGCAGGGGGCGTGGCCACGAACGCCAGGGAGGAGCTGGAGGGCTAGGTGGGGCGGGGACTAACTTCAGGTCACGCCCAATGTGGGCGTGTCCCGGGCTCCCGGAAGTCACCTCTGAGAAGAGAAAGGGGACTGGGCCAAACTGGAGGCAGGGGCCAGGCTTCCCCGCGCACGATCCTCGGATTGGCCCAGAGGCGCTGGCGCCGGCGCAAGCGCAGCGTCGCCTCTGGTTTCCACAGCAACGAGTTCAACAGCTGCTCCGAAGAAGGGGAAGAAACGGGAGGAGACGAAGGAAACGGAACGTCCTTCGGCCATGAGTTTGTCCGAGGTGGATGAACACGTGTCCCAGCGCTACCTCATCAAGCGGCGGCTTGGGAAGGGGGTGAGAGACCCGGTTGTGAGGGAGCTCCTGGTGTGTGAGGAAAGACACCGCCGGACCTGCCCCCGAGAAGACTGCGGTCTGTGGGGGCCCCAGGGTGGAGCCCCCTGTCTGAGGAGACCCACCCCCTCCTGTCCTTTAGGGGCCCCCAGATCTGATGGGTCCCAGGACCCTGCCCTGGGGGAGCCCCTGTCTGAGGAGGAGACCCACCCTTCCTGTCCTCTAGAGGCCCTGAGATCTGATGGGTCCCAGGACCCCACCCTGGGGCAGCCCCCTGTCTGAGGAGACCCACCCCCTCCTGTCCTCATGATATCAGGGGAACTCAGAACCCCCACCCTCAGGAAGATCCCTGGTATGAGTGAAAGAAACACCTCTGCCTATCCTCAAGGAGCCCCCTGATCTGAGGAATACCCAGGGTCCTACCCTCAGTGAGCCCCCTGTCTAAGAGGAAAATACAACCCTGCTTGGCCTCTCTAGGCCTCTGGTCTGTAGAGAACCCAAAGGCCTGTTAAGGAGATCCTGGTATAAGGGAAAGATACAGCCCTACTGTCCTTAAGGAGCCTCTGGTCTGTGAGAGACCCAGGGGCCTTCCCTCAGGGAGCCTTTTGTATAAGGAGGACTATAGCCTTGCCTTTAAAAAGCAAAGGGTCCATAGAAAACTCAAGGACTTGACCTCAGGGAGTTTCTTACTTAAGGGGGTAATAGCCTTGAACTGTCCTCAAGGACAGGCCTGAGGATAAACAACCTCAAGGGTCTTGTATTCTATGAGAGACTCAGGGTCTTGTCCTCAAAGAGCCCCCTATCTGAAGTGGATAGACAGCCTTGCCTCTGGTCATTGAGGACCCAGGGCCCTGCCCTCAGGGTTTCCCTGCCTGAGAAGGAGACCAAGCACTGCTTATCTTTAAGAAACTCCATGATCTGAAAGGACTCAGGACTCTGACCTTAGGGAGCCACTGGGCCTGGCCCACAGGAAGACATCTGGTTTGTCTCCTGCCAGTCCTCAAAGAGCTTCTGGTCTATGGGACACTCAAGGAGTCACCTATCTGAGAGGAAGACGTATACTTACCTATATTCATGGAGCTTCTGGTCTTTGGGGTGGGGGAGAGGTTGGACCCCACTCTCAGGGAGCCCTTGGTCTGAGGGGGAGACCCAGTACTGCTCAGTTCAAAACAGAAGAGGCAAGGTATTGAGACAAGAAAGGCATTGTAGCAGATTATATAGTGTCAAATAAGTATAAATAAAGCACCATTTTGCTTTTTACAGTGGAAAAAACTGCAAATCAGAGTTATATAATGTAACATCACATACCAATTCTGCCCCATTGGATCTCTCTACATGCTTAGGGTCATGTCTCTCTCAAACACTCCTTGGCTGTGGAGATCTCTGGCTAAGCCCTGAAGCTAACCTGAGTCTCTTGACCAAGGACAAACTAGAGTTGGGTGCTAAAAAGCAGGTATGGTAGTAATTGTTAGAGAAGGGGTGAGGAATGAATTCTAAGAAGGCCCACCACCAGCATCAGGTTGTGGAAAGGTCAGAGGTCAGGGATGAAACCATCCTAGCTGGGGTGGCCCCTAGCCACCCTACTTTCCAGGTCCTACGGAAAGGAAAAGGCACGGTTTCTGCTCTCCCAGGCCTATGGCATCGTTTGGAAAGCTGCAGATCGAAGGACAGGAGAAATTGTGGCCATCAAGAAGATTTTTGATGCCTTCAGGAACAAGACGGATGCACAGGTGAAAGGAGTAACAGAGAAATGAAACTTCGGAGGGAAGGGAAAGGTGATGGTAGAAGGGACAGACATATTGGGGAAATGAGATCACGTACCACTAGCAATGCCCTTTATGTTTTATTACAGAGAACGTTCAGAGAGATCATGTTTCTCTAGGTGAGCATCTATGATGTGACATGACCTAGCTTCATGCCCACAGCACTCCTTAGACACATAAATACTGCCCCAGGTTCATGCTTACTTGGATGAACTTGTGATTGCATTGATATGGGTACTCTCTCTAGTAGTTCAGACTTATCTGTCCTGAATCAAACTCACCCCTATATCAGAGGCCTTTTAAGGGAAAAATCTAGCATAGGGAGGGAGACATCCCTGCTTCCATGAGAGTCTGGCCTTACAAAATCACAAAATTTCAGACTTAGAAGAGATCTCAGTGGCCATCTAATACAATAAATATCCCCTCTATGATCTGTACAACTAGCAGTTTTCCAGGTTTTATTTGACAACCGCTATGCTTTAGAAGAATCTGTTTGGAGGCAGCTAGGTGGCGCAGTGGATAGAGCACTGGTCTTGTATTCAGGAGGACCTGAGTTCAAATCCAGCCTCAGACACATAACACTTACTAGCTGTGTGACCCTCGACAGGTTACTTAACGCCATTGCCTAACCAAAAAAAAAAAGAAGAAGAAGAAGAAGAATCTGTTTGGCAGCTGTGTGGAGGAGAGGCTGGATATAAGTTCATATGAAAAAAGATCTGGGGGTCTTAGTGGATTGCAAACTCACCAGTGAGGTGAAAACCAAATATACCAATGAGATCTTAGGCTGTATTAAAAGAATAAAAAATGAGACAGTAAATCTACTATACTTCCCCTGGCGAAACCACAGCTGGAGCAATAGTGTTAAGCACCACATTTTCAAAGATCATGGACAAATTGGAGTGCATCCAAAGAAAGGCAGCTAGAATGATGAAGAGACAGGGAACTATGCCATTTCAGGACTGGTTGAAGGAAATGGGAATTTTTGGCTGGAAAAGAAAAGGCTGGCACATGATCTTTGTCTTCAAGTATTTGAGAGGTTGTCATATGAATGAGGGGTTAGAGTTCTTTAACTTAGCTCCAGACAAAAGAAGTAGGAATTGGATAGAAGTCCTTGGGAAGCAGATCTCAGTTTTATGTAAGGAAAAACATCCTAACAATTAGAACTGTTCAAAAGTGAAATGAGCTGCCCCAGGAAGGATCGTTCCTCTTCATTCAGACTACGGAAACAATTACTGATCATTTTGTAGAGCAAAAGTGACCAGTAGGCCATATGTGGATCACAACACTCCTGTGGCCCAAACCAGATTAAAATGTAATTGGGAAATATTTAACAAAATAAAAATACAATAGAACATAGGTATCATTACATTTCAAAACTCAGTAAATATGCTGCCCACAGGGAGCCTTATGAATAGTAGTAGTAGTAGTAGTAGTAGTAGTAGTAGTAGTAGTCCCTGTTTCTATTTGAGTGTATCACCTTTGTTGTAGAAGGTATTCTTCCTAGACAAGACTCGATGATGTTTAAGGTTCCTTCCCACTCTGAGATTGTGTGATTCTGTACTTCACATATGCAGTATATAGATTCTCTTCAAATTATGTTAGAGACTATTCTCCTTAAAGGAACCTTCTACAAGGGGCCTCAAGAATGACAAAGACTGGAACCAAGACTTGTCACCTTGCCCTTGAGCAAGAAAGCCTGGTGCACTCTGGACTGCCAGGTCAGTGTCAGCGAAGCCTTTATGTAACTCTTGCCAATTTGTGCTTCCTGACCTTTCATCCTTAGGAGTTTGATAATCATCCCAACATCATCCGGCTTCTGAATGTCATCAGGGCAGAAAATGACAGGGATATTTACCTAGTATTTGAATCCATGGGTGAGTTCCCTTTCCCTCATGTCCTGAATTTGTAAACACAAGTGAGTGAATTCTTATGTTCTAACATCTCATTATCCCATTCCCTAAACTCTACTCACCTGGCCGCTGTGCCCTTCATTTCCCATGCAGACACAGACCTTCATACTGTCATCCGGAAAGGGAATCTGCTGAAGGATATTCATAAGTGTTACATCCTTTACCAGCTCCTACGTGCAACCAAATTCATTCACTCAGGAAATGTCATCCACAGAGACCAAAAGGTGAAAACCCCAAGGCCTACCCACTCCCTTCTACCTTCTCCCCACTCTTCTTACTGACACCTGCTTCACCAGGCCCCTACATCACTGATTCCCTCTGAATCCTCACTGACTCTTACCTTAGGGTCCTTGCACCTAAAGGGATGTAAGGGAAGGGTAAGGTTTCCTGTAACATAAAATTCTAGATTTTTCCTACAACCTCAAAAATAAAACATTCCTCCAAAAGTACACAAATACCCATCTATCATATTGTTTCTCCCATCAAGTTCCTCACATCATCCTATTAGACTCACTTTTTCCTAGTATCCTCATCTTTAATCTCAAGGTATCCACCACACCCCCAGAAGGTCCTAATCATTATTCCTTGGGTCCTCACACCTCCCCCATAACATTACGACAGTTTTCCAAGCCTTGACATATACACACTTAAACTTCCTACACCCTTTAGCCTTCCAATGTTCTTCTGGATGCTGACTGTTGTGTAAAACTCTGTGACTTTGGCCTTGCACGTTCCCTGAGTCAACTTCATGAGGAACCAGGGAACCCAGCCCTGACAGAGTATGTGGCCACACGCTGGTACCGAGCCCCAGAAATCCTGTTGTCTTCACACCGGTAATGGGGGACCTGGAGAGTGGTGACACACCAGGAAAACAGGGATAGGGAGGTGGGCAGCTGTGTTCATACTGGGCCCTGAAGATCCTTTTGTCTTCTGATTCTTCACACCTAGTATTTCCCCTCGCCTACTTTTGTGCAAGACTTGTCCCCTCTCCCTGCCACCAATCCCAGGCATGCCTTTATCTTCACCCCACCCTCACTTCTGTTGCAGCCTCATCCTTACCTCATCTTCCTCCCTCATCCTGGGCATGTCTTTACTCCCTGACCCTGCAGGTACACACAGGGTGTGGACATGTGGAGCTTGGGCTGTATCCTAGGGGAGATGCTGCTTGGGAGACCTTTGTTCCCAGGAACTTCTACCCTCAACCAGCTTGAGCTAATCCTGGCAGCCATCCCAGCCCCAAACAAAGAGGGTGAGGACTGACTGAGGAGGTATATTCATCCCAGCCCTGACTAGTGTTCCAACCATGTTACTATGTAATCACTGAGTAACTAGGTATTTCCCTGCCCTTCCATACTGTTTGTGGCCTAACCAGAGGGGGTGAGATTGAACAGAGAACTATCCATCCTGGTCCCAGCTAGAGAGAACAAGGCTGATTGACATTTGGCTGGCAGGATTGGGGCGGGGGGGTTACCCTGGCCCCTACAGAGTGGGTGAGAGTGACCAGGGGGGATGATCATTCTACCCTCGGCCAGAGGAAGTAGTTTCCCCCAGGACCACTTTTTGAGCCCCTGTTCCTCCTCTGTTTGCCCCATCTGTCCACTTTCATTCCACTACCTTCTGCTCTTTGCATCCAGAGTTCCTGACCATTGGCTCAGACTACAGTGCTTCGGTCCTCTACCGGATGGGCCCCCGGTAAGTGTGGGTTTGAAAGAGAAGGGTTTATGTAAGACTAATGCTTCTTTTATCTTCTTGATACATTGGGATCAGTCACTCAGTGCTAGGTATAAAAAGTAACTCTAAACATTGAGCACAATGTTTTTTGGGTCAGAGGCCAAAATGATCACTGAAATTAGGGGCTGCTGGTAAGAGACTTTGATGAAACATGCATCTCCATGGCAGTTCTCAAGCAAAAAGATCCCCAGCTGGATTCCTGCCACCAGTATTGGTTAACTTTTCACTACCTGCTATGCAGAGTATCAAGAGAAGTATGATTTATCCTCCAAAGACCCTGACTTGGCGATCAGAGCCTTTTTCTCCTCCTCCTCCTCCTCTTCTTCCTCCTTCTTTTTCCCTTCCTCCTCTCCTTTTCTTCCTCTACCTCAACCTCTTACCTGCCTCCTCTGTTGGCTCTGCTTCCCCTACCACCATTCATAACTATATTTGACTATAATATTAGTGAATCTTGAAGTATAAATTATATAGAGATAGAAATGTTTCTGTTATAATTCCATGTTTTTTCAATGCCTAATACATGCAAGGAGCTGTATAGACAGTAGAGTTACAAAGATAGGAAATTGTTCTGTCCCTGTTCTCTCAATTTCATCTATTAGAGGAATGACCCGCATGTACTACAATTTATTTGTGTACAAGGCAAAGTATACTGGGAACAATGGAGAGATTTAGACAAAAATACTTTAAGAAAAATCTGAGGAAAGAGAACTCTAAAAGCCTGGAGGAGGATAGCCCCTCAATCAAACCTCAAAGGAAGAAAATCTTAACCAGTGGAAAAGAGAAGGGAGAACATTCTGTGATGGAGGGCCTGTGGTGATACACAGAGGTGGGAGAGAAGAGGTCAAGATCAGACCAGTTTGACTGGAATATAGTGTGCCAAAGGGAATAAATCAACTTGTTCAGTGTTATGTTTAGTGATCAAATGCATTAGAAACAACATTTATTACTTATATCAAGTAGCTGCTTAGAGGATGGTTTCCTGATAGAGAGGTCTTGCTATCCAACTAAATGTCCCAATTTAGAACAAAAATTCTGGTCTTTAAACATCCTTCCAAAAGCTTCCAGGGAATTCTAGGTAATTATTTCAGACTAGAAAGTTTATATTAAAGTTACAAATAAAAAACAGATGGTTTCTCTGGCAAGAAGGGAAAACGAGTCAATGATTTTTTTTTTTGTGATGTAAGATTATGACTGTAACATACAATTTCATTAACTCTAGGATGAGATATAGGTATTGTAAATACAAAGATTCAAGAAATAGCCAAGTATGAAAACAAACCCAATTGTATAACAGAAATTGTTAATCTCATCTGAAACCTGACAGCAGTAATTCCAAACTTTTTTTGTTCTGAGAATCCCTTTCAACAACAACAACAAAATGTGTTGAGAACCCCCAGGACAATTTAATGTACTACTCAGAATATTCTGCAATTGATTACTGTTTAAGGCAATATTAAAGAATTTTAGTGCAAACCCCTTGGATGATCAAAGGATCCCAAAGGATTCATGAACCACTAAATGAGACCCACTGCCTTATAATATCTGCCAGTATTGGTATATAGGCAATTCATACTTTTAATGGTAGAGGTCTTTCAAATAAGCATTAGGCTTTTCTTAATTTTTTATTTCATTTGTCCACAAATTTGAGAGACTAATTCTGTTTCAAAAAGTGTATTTAGGAAAGGGAAATTATGTGAAATAAAGAGAGCAATATGAAATAAGGCTCAAAAGATAGGTTAGAGACAGACTGTGGAAAGCCTTAAATGCGAGGCTAAAGAGTTTAGATTTTATTGTATAGGTAACAGAAAAGCCACTGGAAGCCTTTGAGCAAAGGAGTGATATGGTCAAGACTGCCTTAGCAAGATTATTTTAGCAGTTTTGTAAAGGATGGATTGGGGTGGAAAAAGGATCTGAGGTAGGGAAAACCAGTTAGGAAGCTTTTATGATATTCTAGTCAGGAGGTCATGAGGATCAGCACCAGGGTACCAATTACCTTAGAATTGAGTTGGGGAAAAACCCTAGACATTCTTTACCTCCTAGGAGAATTTCATCCAGTTGGTGAGCTTCTATCAGGCTTTGGAGCACCTCAGGGGCTTTCTGCAAGACCTTTGTTATAGGTCACTGTTTCATGTTTTAAGTATTTGTTTTAAGCATTAAATCTTTGAGGGATTTGAGAGGAAAAGATATTCAAAAGGAACATTATGAGGGATGTGGTAAGGAATCAACAGGAGATAGTGAAAGGTGTTTGTTCAGATAGAGCCAAGCTAAGTTTTTAATGTGTCTGATCAGTGAGGTTCCTTGACACTAACTATCAAGCAGAGAAAAGTAAATGGTCCATTTTCCTAGGGTTGGAGATTAATGTGGTGGTTTTGAGGGTAGCCTTGTGACCAGGCTCAGAGTATTGCTTAGGCAGAGAGGTAATAAAATTCAAGGGAACCCGTGGGGTGGGCAGCCAGGATGTTGAAGTCATTGAGGCAGCCAGGAAAATGTCCTAAAGATCTGTGGACAATGGCAAAAACAGGCTGGGAGAGCACGCAGGGATTTCAGTAAAATAGTGAAGAGATGGTGATCTGAAAGTGGCTATAGGGAATATATAGATACATAAAACATGTTTTTATATATATATATACACATATATACATATATACACATATATGTTGGGGAATAGAGGGGTAGGAGAATTCTCACTGCTAGGCATAGCTCATGTAAGGGTATACAGGGTGTCCTTGATTCTGGGCATTCCCATTTGTTATTAGGAACATAATCTGGCAGCAGTATGTATGCCAGGTGGATTATAAACAGAGAGAGAATATGAGCGATTCCCATTAATGGGACAGAATATAGGAATCTAATAAGATGAAATTTAAGAGATATGTCACTACTTACACTTGGACTCAAATTCCATTCAACAAGTACATGTTCTGTACCTACTACATTGTGATAAGTGCAGGGGATACAATGGCAAAAGGACAGTCCTGCCCTTGTGGAGCTTTTATTCTACTGGATTATTATACTGGATTCTACTGGAAGGAAGAGGGAAAAGTCAACTTTACAAGTATAAGATGGGAAATATATGGCGAGAGAGCATTTCACCTGAAAAATATCTGGGAGATGTGGTAGCCTGGAAGCACAGATATGGAGGCTGTCTGAAACTATATCAGTACAGACATGGGGTCCCGGACTAGGGAGGGATTGATTTCTTTGGGCTCTGCCCTGGTCAGGTTGTATCTTGTGAAAACATATTGTGCTCAATTCTGGGATATTGATAAACTGGAAAGAGTCCAGAGTGGGCAGCCAGGATGGTGAAGGGTCTTGGAACCATGCCATATGAGGATCAGTTAAAAGAACTGGGGATGTTTTGCTTGAAAAAGAGAAAATTTAGTATGGACATGATAGCTGTCCAGGTATTTTAAGAATTATGATGAGGAAGAAGGATTCAATGTATTCAATTTGGCTCCAGAGAACAGAACCAGCAACAACTGGTGTGAGTTGCAAAGAAGCAAATTTAGGTTTAACCCAAGGGAAAACTTCCTAACAACGAAAGCTGTTCTACTAAAGTAGAATGGTCTGCCTTGGGAGGGAGTGGCTCCCCCTCACTGGAGCTTGTCTTCAAGCCAAGGTGGATAACCTCATGGTAGGTGTATTGTAGATGGGATTTTCATTCAATTAGAGGTTGAACTAGATAGATAGCTTCTGAGGTTCCTTTCAACTCAGATTTTGTGATGTGATTCCTAATACAGATTCTGAATTCACTTGACATCTGTTACATTCAGTACCCCACTAATTCTCCAGGCCTCTTTTCCTCCCCATTTCCTCCTCTCCCTTCCTCTTACCTTCCTTCCCACTCTCCTTCTCTACCTATCCCTCCCTCATCTATCCCTCCTGCCTTACTGCCTTCACCCTTCTCTCTTCCCTCTTTCCCTCACTTCTCTCTCTCCTTTTCTCCTTCCCTTCTTTTTGCTTTTAACCTTACAAGTTCTTCTCCAGGTCATCCTGCCTGAGTCTTTTCTTCCTTTTCCAATCTTCCTTTTTCTCCTCCTACCTTCACCCTAACTTAGATCTCTCTAGGGTCCAACCCTAACCAAGGACTACAGGCCCTCCTCCATTGACATCTTTTAGGCCTTGTTCTATTGTATCAAGCAGATTAGACTTACTTCCAGAGTTAGGATTCCTGGGTTCAAGAGAACCCCAAGATTTATCAGTTATAAGACCATGTGTCAAGACCTTTCACCACTCTGAGCTTCAGTTTCTTTATTTGTCCTTCCACTGCCTACCTCTTGGGTGGTTGTAAGGACAGCACTTTGTAATTATCAATGCACAATAGAACTGTGGGTTATTCACATCCCTGGGATTAAGCCGCCATGGCCACGGTGTTGGATCCCTCTGGGGTTAGAGGGCGCAGTGAGGGACAGTGGAGCTCCCAGATATGGGACTACAACAGAGTGACAGAGTATGGTGAGATCAGCACTTGCCTCCAGGCAGCTACTGACCCTGGACTCCCGCCTCCCACCAACCACTCCTCCTGAGGCCCTGGACCTGTTGCAACGACTCCTGGTGTTTGACCCTGAGAAGCGGCTGACAGCAGATGAGGCTCTGAGGCACCCTTACGTGAGGAGGTGGGGAGAGAGCCGAGGTGGTTAAGGGAGGCCCCAGGGGAGGCTGACAGGAAGGGAAGGCCAGGAGGGAATGTGAGGCCCCAAATCAGGTAGACAGTGGAGAGAGGCAGGGAAAGGGAAGGCCAGCACCAAGGAGCTAAGGATGGGGGAGAAGGAAAGGGGGCAGAGTTAGAGAGCAAGATTCGCTGACGACAAGGATGGAAGGTAGAAGAGAGGCTGGGGTTGCCTAGGAAGGAGGAGAGTAATCCAGGCAAGGCTGACAGTTGGCCGCAGAGTGGAGGCCAAGATTGGTTGAGGGAGGGGGAAAGATGTGGATCTTTTGGTGTGATGCCGATGAGCTGAAGACAAAGGAGTCTGGGTTTAGAGGATTCCCAGATGAAACCAACAGCAGCAGCAGGTTAAGATGGAGAGAAGGCTGAGGTCAGAGAACTTCCTGAAAGGAAACTGTCATAGCTGCACCCCTTAGATGTGTGAATGGAGAAGTGAGGGTAGAGGAAGCACTCCCCAGGAGAGCAGTGGGCAACATCCACCTCTGAGTTTCCCTCTGACCTCTGACTCCAGATTCCACTGTCCAGCCAAGGAGCCAGCCCTGGAGTATGAAGTGATCCTGCCCATCGATGATGGCGTGCAGCTCTCTGTGCTGGAGTATCGCAACCGGCTGTACAAGGTGACCTCCAGGAGCCTCTGCCTCTGCCTCTTCTCTGTCATATACACAAGTGTACACATGTGCACACGCATACAGGCACATATACATGCACACATGCACTCACCTATGTGTGCATATACCCTGTGCATGTGTGCCTTGCACTACATATACATATGTGCAAATGAAACTCATAAACACCGCAGATGATGTGTGTACTGAGCGCGCGCGCACACACATACACACACACACACACACATACACCTCCCTCAGAACCTGGATGGCAGCTACTAAGGATTCCCCTGGTCATCTCCCTACCAAGAGTTCTCATGAGTTCTCTCCTGAATGCTCTTTTATCCAAATACTCCTTCCCCACCTCAGGCCCATGGAGTTTGACTTGCCTGGGTGTCAGTCCCTCCCCAAGACGTTCTCACTCCCACTCTTAAGTATTCCCTCACTCCAGGAAATCCTTCATTTCAGGTTCTACACACACATAAGTTACTCCCTCGGCCTAGATATTCCCCTCACCCCTCCACTGGCCCACTTTGAATACTCGCCAGAGGGACTCTGAGATGTCCCCTTCCCATAGATGATCCTAGAGCGAAAGGCAAACAATCGACTTCAGAGCCTGGAGATTCAGAGAGAAGCCCTGGGGGATCTTCCCAGGTCAAGCCCTGTGCCCCTGCCCTCCCAGAAGGATCCCCTCCCGCAGAACTCTACCTCTGAGCGGGCCCAGGCCCCAAGGGAACCTCGAACCTCTGCCCTGAGGGAACGTCGTTCACAAATCCCTGGACCCAGGCCACAGAGTGAGCCCGCTCCCTGCCATGGTATGTGATCTCTGAGCCTTTCTGATGTTGCTATATGGTGTGACCCTGAATCCCCACACCACCCCCAATGGCATATGACTCCTTGACCCTTTGGTGTGTGATTCCTGATCTGAATCCATTTTATGTTATCAATTTCCCAACTCCTTCCCTCCCCACCAGTGTTATAACCCTTGACCTCACCATGGTATTTGATTCCCTAACCCAAACCCACACAGTTATAATTCTAGCCCTCACAAAGGTGTACAACCCTGACCCTCACCATGACATGCTCCTTCACTCCCACCCCAAACATAGACACCCTTGGTCCCCGGCAGGGGTCAGCACCCTCTATCCGGCTACAACATCGAGGTTTCTCGGGGAAGAGGGGACAATCATTTTGGGGTGATGCTCGCACTCTCACTGGCCCCACTGGGGTAAGTTTATTCGTTTCTAATCAACTAACACCTGCTATGTACCGCGTCAGGGGTTAGGACAGCACAGGGGGGAATGATTTCCCTGTCCTCTGAGACCTCACAGTGTAATCTGACCACACATGTCACTACAGTAGAAAAAAACTTGGTCAGTCAGTGAAGTGCAAATTGAGGACAGTGTGAGACCCAAGGGAGGAGAGATCACTTCCATTTGGGCTTAAGTGGTAGTGACAGGGAAGGCTTCATGGTGGAAATGGCAGCAGGGCGAGGCCTCCGCAGAACCAAGGGGCTGCAGCAGGCAGAGATTGGGGATTTATATGTGTTCTGTTCCAGGAGCAGAGAATGTCTGAGGAGATGCACGGATGTGGGAGGGGCAGTCAGCACCAGAGCCTAGCCAGATGTGGTCCAATGGAAAGTGTGTATAAGGATAGAGTGTGAATGAAGGTGAGAAGGGTGGGTGGGATCCAAACTGAGCAGGGCCTTAAGTGCAAGGCTGAGAAGGCTATGTTTTCTCCTGTAGAGCAACAGGGAGCCACTGAAGGGTTTTGGTCAAGGAAGGGACGAGGTCAGACCTGGCATCGGGTCTGGAGGAGCAGCTCTCTGAAGGGTGGATTGGAGGAGGAGAAACTGAGAGCAGGGAAACAATGTTAAGGTGGTCACAATGGGAGAGGAAGAGAGGAATGTGAAAGCTGTGGTAAAGGTAGAATCAACAGGATTTGGCAAGTGATTGGATGTGTGAAGTGAGGGAGAAGGATAAGTAAGTTCAAGATGACGCTGAGGAATCAGTCCTGAGAAGGAGGAGGGGGATATTAGGGAGGTTAAGAAGAGGATGCTTTGAAGGGAAGATGATTTCAGGCTTGAACATGTCAAAGCTGAAGGCCATCCATATGGAGATGTCCATGTAGGTATTTGGAAATAGGCCTTGGGGGCTCAGGAGAGAGACTGAAGCTGGGGATGCAAGTCTGAGAATCATTCGCATAAAAGCGAATGACACTAAAGGGAAAAAGTAGAAAGAACAATGGACAGAACCTTGAGGCAGCCAGGACACAGGAGAGTGACTCAGCAGTTCCAGACTGTCTCCCTCCTCTTATCCCACCTCGTCTAGCCACCTCCTGGTCTTCCCCTAAGCCCTCCGCCTTTAATTCTCATTGCTGCAGCCCTGATGTGCCCCATCTCAGGATATGATCACTCACCTGAGGGCAATAACCCCATCAGCGCCAGACAAGGGGTACCTGTCTCTGTTTTTAGGAGAAGCCAGGCCTGAGGTCAGCCACGTCTACCCCTTCCCTCACTGCCCAGGCGGCAGCTGCAGTGACCAACCAGGCCCTAACACGAAAGGACAGTTCCCTGATGGGTGTGATGACTTCCACAAACACCAAGCTGGTGAGGGAGACCAGATGCAGAATGCTATCATTTTCCTGATGCTGACTGTCCCTCCACAGGCTTTAGCTGCATCTTCCTAGACATTAAGAAGTCAGAGAACCTGGGTGTGAATCCCAGTTCTGCTCTGTGACCTTGACCAAGTCACTCACTCACCCTTTCTGAGTTTCAAGTTCTTTATAAAATGAGGTGATTGGACTAGATGATCTCTAAGGTCCTTACTCCCTGTAAACCTTATGATGCTAATTGTCCTTCCCCCAAAGCTAGTCATCTCTCCATCTGGCACTGACTGTCCCTTCCCTGACATCACTGTCATTTCCCCAACATTAACTGTCCATTCTTTATACTGGTCCTCCCTTCCCCCATGAATTCTTCTTTCTTCCCAGGTCCCTCGCTTGCCCCCTGGCCCCACTCAGGAAGCTCGAGCTCCCCTGCGGCCTGCAAGGAAGATGTTCCAGTCCTCTGCCTCCCAGGGGACTATGGGGGCAGCTAAGGCCTCCCTGGGAGGCTACTCCCAGGCCTACGGAACCATCTGCAGGTCAGCCCTGTATGATCTGCCCCTCTCTTACTCCTCACTCCATCCCCTCCCCCATGTACCTCCATCCTGATTCCCTTCTAGAGACATCCTAACTTTTTACCCCTATGTACTTCTTCTAGCCCCTGACTGTCTGTATTTGCCCCCCAGAGATATCCCCAGCCTGCTTCACCCCATGGACTTCCCTCACCTGATCCTCATGACCCCCTGAACCCTCACTGAAGCTCCCTTACCCAGACACTCCCAAGAGATAAGAAACCTCCTCTGAGCCATCCTCTCTGACTCATTCAATGGGGTCTCTGGTTTGAGGAATGTTTGGCTTCAGCCATGGGAGTCCGTCCCCTTTACCCTTCTCGTAAACACCAACAATTTATTTTCAACATTAAAGTCTCTGATTTTCTGCATGGCTTGGTATTCCTCAAGCATAGGGAGTTGAGCTCCCCCAAACCCTGACTTTCCTCTTCCTGCCCTCTACCCAGGACTGTGTGTCTATGAGTGACAGTCTTTATCTGATCATGCATCTCTTGCCAAGACTTAATGATTCCACATACAGATATATTGTTTATGATCATCTCTTCCTTTGTCATTGGTGTTAACCATATGTAGTAATGTGAGTCTCAGAGCATGCTCAAGGTTTCTGATTCCAAGAGGTTATTGAATCTCGGGCCTGGGCCTCAGCTCTACAGTGTATCAGTGGGATACTAACTAGGGCATTCATTGTGGGGGAGGGTGTAGTTCACCAGGCATCCAGAAGTCTGGAAACATATCAAAGACCACAATACTTCACTGAATCAATGGGACACATAGACACCCGTGTGATGATACGATGATCTGAGTGGTAGAAAGTTCGAGTAAATGGGGGGATCAGCTGCGCTAAGTCTGGGCTCTCTTTTCTCTGGTATTTTCACCAGGGCTGGCTGACATCCAGCCCTGGAAACAGCTTTTCCAAAGCAGTGGCTTTTATAGTCTTTAGGTAGCAGGGAGATAATCAGGCAGCTTTTCAGGCCTGGTCTCAAAAGAAGCAACCCCTTCCTCCTGCTGGCAAAGCCAGCCCACACCTGAGGCTTTCTTATCCCAAACGGGGCACATCATGTGTTGGGGCCCCTGGCCCTGTTTAAATGTGTGCTGAGCAGCAGAGGGGAGCACTGTATGAAGAAAGGCCATTGGATGGGGATAACTGGATCTTTCTTAAATGGAGTAATAATACCCACCAACCCCATAATAGAAGGCAGAGAAAGAAAAGATGGTGGAGGAAGTCAGAACCTGTTTAACTCCTGGGAGGGCCTCTGTCTGGCTCACTCCCACCCCAACCCTCATTCTCTTACCAGGGTCTCTTTTCTTCCTTGGTCCCCTGAGAAAAAGGCAGAGATCCTGGGGTACAGCCACTCCCTGGTCTCCTACCTCAAAGCAAAGAATTTCCTTCTCGTTGCCTGCTGAAGAGGCAGCCTGGTCCAGGGAAGAAGCAATAGCTTAATGACCAGGAGACCTTGGTCCCAGCCTGGTCAGTGCAGGCAGGCATGGAGCCCACTAGGGGCTCTAAAGAAGGGTTCTCAACAATTGTAAAGAACTACAGAGGAACAGGTGGGAAATAAGAAATGTGACAAAGACATCTCCTAAGGCCTGTCATTGATCTTCTCTGGTCTGAACTCCCTGGCTCCCTCACACCTTTGTTCTCCTTCACTCGGCCCTGCCCACATCCTGCACATACCTTGTAGGATGAGGCACAGGCCCACACAGGTGCTAACACTGGTCTTATGTGTGATTCATCTCTATGTCATAGGAATCCCAGACTGACTCCATCTCGGTACTTCTGTTTCACACACTCCTAAGACATTCCTGATAAGATGTTTGTGTAGTTTGGAAGAATCTAAGACTCCAAAGCCAGGTTTAATAAATTCAAGTCTAATTTATTGATGCAGCAAATTAGTGTTCCCTCAGCCCTCCCTCTCTCATCCCCTGGAGAGGGTGGAGGACACATAGGCACTGGGTCTGTGCCATCCCCTCCCCAAGGGGAACTCTCCCAGCATCTTATGTCCATCATTGTGGGTGCCCCTCTTCAACACCCAGAGAGGCATGCATCCATCTAGGAGTAGGAGAGATGCTAGCTCAGAGCCTCAGACCACACTGCCCCCCTTTTCTAGACACCCAACCAGAACCCATAACTCCCCAGGGTCCTACCCCATCCACCATGCAAATCAACCAGCTTTTATTAAGTGCCTACTGGGTATGAAACACAGTACCTGGTGCTGGGAAGACCATCTTCCTTGTAAATTCTGTAAGATAGGGTTTTCTCTGATCCTAAGACCTCTCCCTGCCCTCACATGTTCCCTCCTCCCTCCCCTAAGCAGGGAAGAACTCCCCTGGGAGCGCAGACACACACACACACACACACACACACACACACACACACACACACACCCCCACAAAGCAAAGATTTTCCACCCTTTCTCTCTGTTGGAGAGGCAACTTGGTACACTGCAAAACAGCACTACACAAGGAACCAGAAAACCTGCTCTCTTGTTCCAGCTCCACAGTTTTCTAGCTGTATATCATGGAACAAATCACTTCTCCCAGCTCCTTTCCTCATCTGTAAAAATACCTCAGAAGGCCATTATGAGGCTCCAATGAGACAGTGTGTGAATACTCTTCATAAACTGTCAAGCTCTGTTCAAATGAGGATTTGTTACTTCCAAATTCCTTAGACTGAGAGATGCACTAATAGGCTGGGCAGAGAGAGAGAGGGATAGACAGATTGTTTAGCAGACCAGGGGGAGAAAGGACAGGCAGATAATTAAGCAGACCAGTAGGAGAAGCGACAGGCAGATAAGTAGACCAGTGCATGGAGGTAGGGGGTTGGAGCATACATCGTCCAATTGAAGATGTATTGAAAAGCTTTGGAATAAAGGAAGATAAAAAAAATGAACAGATGGACAGACAGACCAATATAATTAGATGGGCAGATGGGAATAGTCCCCCAAAAAGGTACAGCCCACATTCCAAAGGCAGGCAAGGCAGTAGCGCATCATTGTGGGGACTAGGTCTGCCCACGTACACTGGCCTTGTGAGCACAGTGAGGATAGGGGTGGTCCTCTACCCCTGGGCAATGATATCCGTCATAAGCCCAAGGGGACATCCTGCTCTTCAGGATATGGCACCCACTCCCCACCCTATCTCAACCCACCCTATTTAGAGATTTGGCATCTGCCTTGGTCACTGGACCCACGATGGAGTTGAGCGTGTTAGTGGTAATGTGAGTCAGTGATAGTGACACTCTGGGCAGGAAAGATTGCCAGGGTGTTGGATCATTTCTTGGTCTTGAAAGTGCCCAATATCTTGGGCATGAACTTGCCCACCTTGCGGTCCCTAGCATCAGCCTCGCCTGCCCCAGCCTCGCCTGCCCCAGCCTCACCTGCCCCAGCCTCCTCCTTCTTACAGAAGACCTCAAAGCGACTATAGACACGCTTTTCCTTCCGCATACTCTCCATCTTTCGCAGCAGGGTGTCTCGTTCTTCTAGGTTAGCCGGGAGTGTCCGGCTGAAGCGATTCTGGCTCCCAAAGCTGTCTGAGCGGAAGATGGCTGAGCACTTGTCCTTATCAGACATTTCATGGGCCCTGCTTGCATCCAGGGCAGCAGCAGGTGAGCAGTACAGCTCAGGGCTGCTGTGGGCTGCACCTCCTGCCCCAGCCCCAGATCCAGCCCCACCACGATGTTTCTGGTTGTGAGCATTGATCTGCTCCAGTATCACCTTCGTGTCATCTCGAAGGTTACTACTGTAGAGGGCATTAGGTGTGGCAGAGGCCAAGCGATGCCTGGAGCCCCGTTCCTCTGCCCCTACCTCTGGGCTATCTCCCCGTGATGGTCGACGGGGGCCCTCAGGCTGCCCATTCTCCTGGGGCCCTAAGAAGCCACCCTCCTCCTCTAGCCTCTTCTCCCCCTTGGGACTCAGCAACTGTTTCAGGCGAAGTGAGCTCTTGCGCAGGAACTCCATGGAACTGGACTCTGGTTGGCCAGTATCTTCCTCCCCAGGGGTCCCTATCTTCTGGGTGTCCCCAGCAAATGTGAGGCTACTCCTCCGCTCAGGCACTGGGGGTATAGGACTACTCCTCCGCTCAGGCACTGGAGGTAGGGGACTGCTCCGCTGCTCAAGATAGGCTGAGGTGGGGCTTCCCTTCCTTTCAGGATAGGCCAAGGTGGGGCTCCCCTTCCTCTCAGGGACAGGTGGCACAGGGCTTCCCTTCCTTTCTGGAAATGCTGATGTGGGGCTCCCCTTCCTCTCAGGGACAGGTGGCACAGGGCTCCCCTTCCTTTCTGGAAATGCTGATATGGGGCTCCCTCTCTTTTCGAGCACTGGACTCCCCTTCCTCTCTGGATAGGCTGGTGTGGGGCTTCCTTTCCTCTCAGGTGGAGGACTTGCCCTGCCCTGGGGCAGGGCAGCCCTGCCATCAGAGACAAGAAATCGAGAGGGCAGTCTATCGGTACCCCGACCCAGGGTGTCAAGAAGCTGGGCAGCACTCACAGTAGCTGCACCTGGCTGTCTCTCAGCCTCTTCATGCAGCCGACTGGCAAAGGAATCCCGCAGATCTAAAAGGCAGCTCTCGAGGCTACGTCGCTCCCCACCAGCGCCCCCACCACCTGTCCCGGTCTCTTCCCGCCATAACTGTGACACTGCTGCTTTGCTAACAGTGATCAGACCACCTGGCTTCTCCTGGTCCCGGTCCCGGTCCCGGTCTCTGTCCCGGGCCGGGCCCTTGTATTTCTCCAGCAGCTCTGCCACCTTGGAAGAGGAGGCTGTCCGCACTGTCTCGCCACCCTCACCCACTGTCTCACTGACTGTCTGCTCCTTCTGGAAGAGCTGTACTTTCTCATTTGTGGCCCCAGCACCAGCCCCACCTCCAGGTCCCTCCTTTTGGGATGAACTGAAAATGAGGGAAGAGCGAAGCCGGGAGCTTCTCTGGATCAGGGGGTTAAGGCGGGAGCGGAATGAGTCCTGCTTGACCAAGGCTACCCCTTCAGCCACCTCTCGCTCTGGGCCATCCCCCCCACCTAGAGCCTTTGGGGGAAAGGGCCCCCCAGTCCTGAAAGAGGAGGGGAGCAGATCCCCAGTGGGTAAGGGATAGCGGCCAGGGGGATCACCCAAGACTTCATCATAGGATTCTGCCTCCATGGGGCCAGGCAGACCCTCATCTCCACCATCAGAGTGGCAGCCGCTGAGGTAGGAGGAGATACGCCAGTTGCGTAGCCCTGCCCGGCCCTCAGCCCCACCCTTCCGGCTGGGTTCCATTTCTGGTTCAGCCTCTGGTAGAAACCACCGTTGGTCCAAACTCTGCTTCTGTGTGGGTGACGACTGGCAAAGGAACCTTTGCCCAATGTTAGGGCGCTGTGGAGCACCAGGCTCCGGTCCACGGGGTTCAGGGTCAGAACCATGCCGGACTTCCCTTGAGGCACTGGATGGCACATAGTCCAGCCGCAAGTGTCCACCAGGACCCTCAGGATGAGGGCCAAAGCCCTCTAACTCTGGGAAACGGGGGCTCCCCTCTACCCCACAATCTTCAGGGTCCCCAAAACCCGGACGTCCAGCCCGCAGCTTCTCAAACAAGCCCTGAGGCCGGGTAGCTGTGAACTGAGGTTCAAACTGGTAGTGTTGCTGGTAGAGCTGGTCACGGTGAAAGTGGCTGGTCTGAAAGCGGAAGTCATCACCATGGCTAACAAACATCTGACGGGACACTTGGCGGGATGCAGCAAAGTTCTCCGTGGCTCCATCAGCAAAGGTATGTCTCTTAAAGGCGTCCATCTCTAGATGCTTGGCTCGGAGAAAGCCCCGGGAGCTGGGGTCCCCACTATTGCCAGCCTCCATCTCCAGGTGTTTGGCACGGAGGAAGCCCCGATTACCAGAGTCTCCACCATGCCCAGCTTCCATCTCTAGGTGCTTGGCACGGAGAAAGCCACGAGTGCTGGGATCCCCACCATGGCCAGCCTCTATCTCCATGCCAGGCCGACGTGAGAGCATCCTCAGTCCATGCATATCTCCCACACCCCCCGAATGCCGGAGTAGGTCATCCCTGCGGAAGGCTGATAGGAAGTGACGGTCAGGGTCCAAGAAGGAGGGGAAGCCCAGGCCCTCATCACGTGGTGGGAACAGCAAGTGGGCACGCTTGGGGAAGAAAGACCCTGGTCCTCCTACAGGAGCCCCCATCAGGGGCCCTGGGCCCCCATATGGAGTCAGGGCATACGTGTCTGCATGGGTCAAGGCCAAGGCCAAAGCCCCAGCTGCAGGGATCAATGGCTCAGACTGAGCAAAGAGGATGCGAAATTCCTCATCAAAGCTGGATACCAGCTCTCCCTGGAAAATATGAGCGATGCTCCGATGAATCTTCTCAAAGGACCACATGAAGCTAAAAGGAGGAAGACATAGAGGTCAGGGATAGGAAGGACAGTGGAGGAAAAACAGTGGAAGGACCCCACAATGAGTCTTCTCAAAAGACTACAAGAAATTGGGAGTATAAGGAGGTAGGGGTTAGTGGAAAGGACACAGAAATAAATTTAAGGAGAGAGTGGGAAGGTGGGGGAAGTACTCTTTATCCCACAAAGTCTTTTTTCTTCATATCCACCCCTCTCCTGAAGCAGCTCACCTGTAGCTCCCACTCAGCACCACAGTACAATCCACCAATAGGAACTTCTCCTTCACGTGGCCCTTGAAGGACTTTCCTGTGCGGCAGTAATAGGTGGGGCCCGAGACTGTGCGAACCCGAAGGAACTAGATGGGAAGGGGTTATGAGTCAGGGGCATAAGAAGCAAGGCAATCTCCATGCAGACTCACCCCCCAAATGAACCCACCTGGTACAGGTTGAACCACACCTGCTAAGATTGCCCTTTGTTACCTCCTCATCTACCACTTCCACCAGTCTCTGACGTCCATGAGACACAGGTTGAACCTCCCATAATTATCCCCTACTCCTTTCCACAGTCACTCACATCCACATGATGCAGATTGACTCGGCACTTTTCAGCCATGTCCAGAAAATGCTGGGCATTCATTTCATCCAGGAGGATATAGACAGGGACACGTCGGGCAGCTGCCTCTAAGACCTCACTCAGCAGGTCTATGTCTGTGAACATGTCCATCACAATGGCCACCACCTGGAAGATGCACAAGGGGCAGATGTGGGAGAGGTGTTGCTGGTCAAATTAGTGATACTTCTAGGTTAAAGAGACTCCTGGGGGCAGCTAGGTGGTGCAAGGGATAGAGCACTGACCCTGAAGTCAGGGGAACCTGAGTTCAAATGCAGCCTCAGACTAAACACTTGACACTTACTAGCTGTGTGACCCTGGGCAAGTCACTTAACCCCAACTGCCTTGCAAGGAACGAAAAAAAAAAAAAAGAGACTCTTCTTCTCCCCACTCATATAACCTTGAAAGCCTTCTTGCCATCTGTCCCCATCAACAAAGTATCTCACCCTCCTCAGAAGAGTTAAGTGTCATCTGCAATCCAGTACGCACTTTCTCTCCTAGATTTATATACTTAAATAAGGCTGATCCCAGCACCAATCCCTAGGAAACCCACCCAACTGCTCACAAATTCTCTATCCAGAAAAGTACCCATGTATCCCTATCTTTTGTTTCCTATTTCTATATTTTCCTGGTTCCAACAAACAGGCCTACCAAGGAAGATAACAAAAACAGTAGCTGACATTCACACAATAATCTAAAGTTTAGCAAGCACTTTATACATATTATCTCATATGATCCTCAAAAGAACTCTATGAGATAGGTACCAGCAGTAATTTTATACCCATTTTACGGGTCATGAAACTAAGGTTCAGAACAGTGAAGGAACATTCAGTAATACAACAAGTAAGTATCTGAGGCAGGATTCCTACACAAGTCCCCTGACTCCACATCAAACTCCTCTCCCATTATGCCATGCTGCCCACTCAACTGAGGTAACAGGAAGAATGCAAAGATGACACAGGCATGACATCAGGAACACTAAATGCCAGAAAGAAGCGGGTGATGAATGCTAAAGACAACAAAAAAGGACTGCCCTTTTGAGTTATGAGACAGATCAAGGCAGGAAGTAGACTAGTGAGCAGGGTAGCTAGAAAGACATAACCATTGACTGAACCTCTCCAGTGGTCTTCTCTACTATGTAGAATGATCTTCAGACTGGGACAGGGAAGTGGGGGGAAAAGGGAATGGTTAGAACCAAAATGGAAGCAAGATCACATCACATGGGTTGAATGCAAAAGCACAGCAGGAGACCTGATAAGACCTCAAAGACTATCTAATCCAACCTCCTTATATTGGAGAAGGGGAACTGAGGCCCAGGGAGGTTAAAAAACTCGCCCAAGGTCACACAGTGAGTTAAATATTGTAGGCAGGATTTAAAACCACACCATCCTGATTCCATGTCTAGGACTTTGACCACAACAATTCACTGTCAATTTTGTGGGAACAAAGAAATGAAAACAAAGTCAGTGTACCTCATTTGGGGAATGCCTAAACAAATTCTGGCATATGAATGTGATACCGCATTATTATATCTTAAGAAACAATGAATATGAAAAATTCAGAGAAACTAAGGAAGTTTTTTATGCAATGATGCAGAAGAAAGTAAGTAGAACCATCAGCAAACAATCACAATAATGTAAGAAGAACAACACTGAAAGGCTAGCAGAACTCTGATCAATGCAGTCACCAATCCTGACTTCAGAAGTCTCATGGGGAAGAACCCTTCCCCCTTCTTAGCAACATGGGCTACAGCTGCAATATGAGACATTATCACACCTGCTCAACGTGCTCATTTCTTCTGCTTCATTTTGTTTCTTTGTTTTGTTGGTTTTTTGTGATTTTGTTTTTGTTTTTTTAGTCAGGGATGGGAGAGGAGTCATTGGGAAGTGACAAGGTGAGAAAGAAAAAAAGTATCAATAAAATATTTGTTTAAAAATAACTAAAGCATGGCATGGTGCTATATGTAAGAAGTGTCAGGAGTCCTAAAGCGCAGATGAGCTGAAGATGATAAGGAAATCTAAGGACGACAAAAACAATTTTCTTAGCTATGTTAGAGGAAGAAGGCCTAAAGAAGGGATAGGGCTATTGCTAGAGTAGATGAGATAATGATAACTAACAATAGAGAGAAGGAAAACTGCTTGGCTCATACTTTGCTCTTTGGGCTGGAAAGAACAAGATAAAAATAGTTAATAGTGAGCTAATGCCCAAGAGAGTGATTTGACTTGATAAGAGTATATTACATATTATCCTCTATTTGAATAACATAAGACTAGTCTACACTCATTTGAAACTACAGGAGAGAACAGAACAGTAGGTTCCTTGGAACAAAAGAACTCAAGATACAATACAAGGTAACCAACCCTGCAAGTCTGAGCCTAACAAATCATGAAAAAAGATGGACATTCAATGAAATGAGGTATTTGAAACTTTTCTAGAAAGAAAATCAGACCTGAAGAAATTATTTGTTCCTCAAATACCCCACACAACAGAAACACAAGAAAGGGAGACAAATATAGCAACCAAGAACAACAAGAAAATAACAAAAATGAAACCATTAAGAGATTCTTTTCTAAATGCACACAAAGTGAGAAGGGTAGAAGCAGCAACCACATAGAAGTGATAGTGGAAAAGAAGGCCTGAAACATCACATACTAAACCTCACAACATTCTTCCTACAGGTTAATCAATTCTTTTGAGGGACTAAATTACAGAATGAGAGAGTACATAAAAGGGGAGAAGGAGAGGAAGAAGATAGAGAGTAATACATAATGTACTCTAATCAAGTCAAGGGCTAACGATGAAGGGAAAATTAACTCCTGTAGGAAGAGAGCCTAGAGGAGATTGGGCATGGAGGAAAAGGGGGGGATTAAAAAGGGAGGAGGGAAGACTGAAATCTTGCTTCAGTAGTAGGCAAGGGGTACCTCTCATAGGAGAAGAGAGATATTCTATAAAGGGAGACTAGGACCTAACAATGGGCATGATCCACAGGTATTTTGTACTTTGAGAGAAAGCATTTATCCTGCCTCAGGAGAAAGGGAATCAGACCTTGTGGAAGCAACTAACACAGAGAAAAGTGGGAGGGCATGGACCCAGGGAAGAAATTTCAAGGAAAAAAGTGATCAAAAGGGAGGGCAGAGGTCAATGATGAACCAAAAGATCAGAGAAATAGGAAAATTCCTGTTTTGGAGCAATATTCTCTCTATCACCTGCAGGAATTGGTATTTCTAAGAATGAGACTCTAACAAGAAGAAAGCGGTCAAGAGGTGGGGAAAGATCTACAAGAAAATCACCTAAAAACCATTTAGAACAGGGGTGGGGAACCTGCAGCCTTGAGGCCACATATGGCCTTCAGTTTTACAGAACCATCCTTTTACTAAGGAGATGTATTCTGTGAAGTTTGGATTCAGTCCAAAGGGCCGCACTTGAGGACCTAGAGGGCTACATGTGGCCTTAAAGCTGCAGGTTCCCCACCCCTGGTTTAGAAGAAGGAACCCAAAATAAGTACTTTAGAAGCTTTAATTCCAAGAGGAATTAAATTCTAGACTAAGAAAAGGACTAAATAAGCATGAGGGCAATGAATCAAAGGATAAAAGTCTGAAATAGAGTAGATAAGTAATGAAGAGAATATAGGAAAAAAATCCTTTTTAGAAAAAGACACAAGGGGCAGCTAGGTGGCACAGTGGATAGAGCACCAGCCCTGAAGTCAGGAGGACTTGAGTTCAAATCCGGCCTCAGACCAAACACTTGACACTTACTAGCTGTGTGACCCTGGGCAAGTCACTTGACCCCAATTGCCTAAAAAGAAAAAAAAAAGACACAGAAAATGAAATCTTAAAGTTAATGAACAAAATGAGCTGAAGGAGGAGGAGAGGAAGGGGGGAATTTTACTTGACTCCTTAATTGAGAAAGAAAAAAGGAAGAGAATTAAATAACTATATAAAAACAAGAAAGCAAAAGGAACTAATAAGAAAAACTCCAAAACTAGGGCAAGGTAACAAACAAGGTTGGAAAAGATAACAAACATTTAGAGATGCTTCAAGGTGAGAAAAAGAGAGCTGGTAGGAATAGGGTTGCCTTAAATTAAGCTAAAATAACTTAAGAGATAGCACTGTCTTTACAGAGGAAGAAGAGGAAAGAAGAGGTCATGTCAGGCACATAGAATCACAGCATTTGAGATCTGGAATGGACTTCAGCAGCCATTCAGCCCAACTCATACCCAGTGATTATAATATACTCCTTAACTAGTCATCCTGCCTTTACCTGGAGATCTCCCAGAACCTACCACCTCTCAAGGCAGCCCATTCCACTTTTGGATAGCTCAAATTGTTAAGATGTTTCTCCTGACATCAAAACTAATTTGACTTGTCTGCAATTTCTATCTCCCACTCCTGGTTCTGCCCTATAGAGCCAGATCGAATTTTAATCTTTCCTCTCTATAATATCCTTTCAAATACCTGAACAGAGCTATCATGTTCCCCTTGCAGTCTTCTCCATGCCAAACATGCCTGGTGCCTTTCAACTGACCCTCACATGACATGTATTCACAACCATTCACCATTCTAACTGCCCTTCTCTAGACACCCTGCAGTTTATCTATGTCTTCTTACACTGTGATTCCCAGAACTGGGCACAATACTCCAGATAAGATCTGACAAAGGCAGAGTACTATCACCTCCTCATTCCTGGAACCTATGCCTCCTGGGACACTGAATGATCACATTAGCTTTTTTTGGCTGCCGCATCACACAGCTGCTGACTCATATTGTGCTTACCTCCACTAAAACCCTGAGATGCTTTTTCAAAACTGCTGTCTCATACCTCCCTTGCTTATCCTTATGAGGTTGAGGTGTTTGCATCCAAGCATAAGGCTTTACATTTGTCTCCATTGGATTCCATCTTATTAGAGTTGGCACAATGCTGAGAGCCTGCCAGGGTCCTCTTGGATCCCAAGTCTATCAATCAGTATATCAGCCATCCCTCCCAGCTTTGTGTGATCTGCAAATGTGATGAGTATACATTCTATGACTTCCTCCAACTCACTGATAAAAAACGTTAAGTAACACAGGGCCAAACAGAGATTCCTGGACTACTCCATTGCAGACCTCCTTCCAAGCTGCCGTTGAATTATT